CCCAACCTTCCTTCCGAGGAGTGGCTGGTGGGTTTGAACCGCCAGACGTCTGGTTAGCAGGCAAGTGTCTTAGCCACTATGCTACCAGAGCTCCCTGATAAGTGGATATCCTATCTAATTCAGAATGGGAAAGTCAGGAACCTGAAATCCCAGCATCAAGGTATCTTGCAGGCTGACTAGAAATCAAGTATTGAGTATTTTATTGAGTGATCAGCTTTGAATTTTCAGTAATATTTTAAGTGGAGGTCTATCACAGATAAACAATTAAATGCTAATCTATGGTATTGATTCTTAAAATAGGAATTAAGAAAAGGGAAAACTAATAATCAGCTTTAGAAATGGGGCAAGATTTTATGAGGACAGTAGTTCTTGAACTGCAGTGATTTGATGGGAGGAGAAAGAATGGATAGGGAAAATGTTCATCTACAACTATCATATGGAATCTAGAGGTGGTAATTAGCAATGCTTCTAAAAAAGGAGCTGACGATACATTTTTTGAATAGTGGAAAATGTGATTTGGGATATTTTTGAAAGCTTTATTTAGGGGTTTTTCAAGTAATTTTTGCTTATAATGAGTGAAGATTTTTAATAAGAGGGTGATGTTACAGAAACAGTTTATAAGACACAATACTATATCAGGATATATTTGGAGAGAGCTCTGTTATTTGGAAGCTATGTAGTCCATTTATCACCTAGTGACTGAGTTTGGTTAATGGCAGTTAAAGGGAGTTGGGGTGAGGATAAAGCAAGAATCTAAATGTTTGTATGAAAGGAACTGCTAATTTTTTAAAGGGACATTTGATACACTTTATTTGGCAATGGAAACAAGTACTTTTTAAAATTTTTTTTAATGTGTTTTTGCTAAAAGTTTACACAGCGAGTTTGGTGCCCATTTGGCAATATCCACAAATTGATAAGTGACATTAGTTATATTTTTCACAATGTGTTGTGATTATTCCATTTCCAGTACTCTAGTTTCACTGCCACTTATCTTTGCTTTAAATTAAATGTTGACCTTTTAGACTCACACCAAAAAACACCAAACTCACTGCCGTCGACAGTGACCCCATCATAGTGACCCCTCCTTGGATTTCCAAGGCAGTGTCTCTACGGAAGTAGATTGCCCAGTCTTCCTTCCAAGGAGTGGCTGGTGGGTTTTAACCATGAGCCTTCTGGTTAAAACCTTAGGCACTGGCTTTAGGCACTATGCCACCAGAGCATACAGATGCTTTTTGTTAGAAAACTCATCTAATGGGTAAAATATCCTTTATTTTTTCTGTCATTTTGCTTTTCTCCTAAAACAAACCTCAGGAGATAGTTTTGGTTCCAGGTTTAAAGAATGTCTCAGGAAGACTATTGTGTCAGGGAATCTTCTGGTCTCAGGTAGTCCAGTTAGACTGGCCTATTTTTAAGAGTTTGAGTTTTGTTCTGTGTTTTTTGCTCATTCTCTCTGAGGTCATCTATTGTTACCCTGGTCAGATTGGTCAGTAGTAGAGCTAGCCACGGCAGTTCTAGTTTTTCTGGTCTCAGGGCAGTTGATATTGTGACTCCTATAGGTTATCAGCCTTTTAGACTTCTTTGAGATTTTCGTTACTTTCTTACTCTTTAGCTCCTGGTGAATAGAGACTAATAATTTCATCTTAGATGGCCGCTTGCAGGCTTTTAAGATCCCAGATGCTGCTCACTTGACTAGGGTGCAGAACATGATCTTTGTAAACTGTATTATGCCAATTGACTGAGTTGTCCTAGGAGACTATGATCCTAAGTTTTCAAACCTAGAAGAACAATCTCAGAAGGTGTCTGTTTGTGTCTGAGGGGTGTCTGTAGTTCTATCTTCAATGGGTATATGTGCATGCATGCACATACCTGTATTTACACATACGTATAGATTCTTCTGGGAGCTCTGGTAGCGTAGTGCCTAAGGCACCTGATTGCTAACCAGAAGGCTGGCGGTTCAAAGCCACCAGCCACTCAGAAAGAAGGTTGGGCAAGCTACTTCTGTAGTGATAACGCCTCAGAAACCCAAGGAGGGGTTGCTGTGAGTCGGGTCTGACTTGATGGCACGTAACAACAACAACAATAACAACATAGATTCTTCTCTCTTGTCACATATGTGTTTACCTGTACCTACCCATCTGTGTCTATACCCAGCTATATGTGATACTGGTCTTGTTTTTAGTCTTTGTTGGGGTTGTTGCCATATATGTCAAATTCTTTAGTACAGGCATCCTCTTGTTATTTGCCGTCGAGTCAGACCCGACTTACAGCGACCCCTCCTTGGGTTTCCGAGGCAGTATCACTACAGAAGTAGACAGCCTCGTCTTCCTTCCGAGGAGTGGCTGGTGGGTTTGAACCGCCAGCCTTCTGGTTAGCAGTCAAGTACCTTAGGCATCCTAGAAACAACTAAATTTAGGAGACAGATTGAATATAGGTAATAAAGTTATTGTTGTTAGGTGCTGTCATGTCAGTTTCAACTCATAGTGACCCATATGATGGAGTAAAACTGCCCCATTGGGTTTTCTAGGCTATAATCTTTACAGAACTAGATTGCCAGTCTTTCCCCTGGGGACCCACTTAGTCCCCAGGGGAAAGACTTAGATTTAAACTGCCAGCCTTTTGGTTAGCAGCCAAACACTTAACTATTAGTTAGATGACAGATAACATAAACATAATGTTTGTTATCAGAAGAATGGTGACACCAAATAACAGAAAAGTTGTGAAAAAGGACCAATTTGAGGGAGAGGAGGCCATGAACCTTAAATTTAATAATTTTGAGGAAATGATGCAAAAATTTAAGTGGAGATAATGAAGTAAGTTAATTGCTTGAAGAAGAGAAGAGTTTGTTTCTTTCTAAAATACAAGAATTAGGCAAATCAGTATATAAATAGGAAGTCAGGAAAGCATAGTCAGTGGAGAGTGTAATTGAATATTATCTCTGTAAATTATATCTCAGTATATATGCAGATGCATGAGATATGTTGTATGTTGTTCTGATCAAATATGTTTGCCTTTCATAGATTTCATGATGCTTTGGCTGCATGGAGAAAATGGGACAGGGCCTACTCAGTTCAACATACCTCACAGTGTTACAGTTGATTCAGCTGGTCGGGTAAAACTACCCCATCATTTTACCTGGGCCTGTGTGTCTGAATGTGTGTGTGTAAGTGTATCTAGGTGTGTGTGGACATGTTTGTGTAGATCTTGGTGCACACTTGTGTTACTGGACATTTGGATGTGTATATGCATAAAAAAACAAATAAACCCATTGCCATTGAGTTGATTCCAACTCATAACGACACCCATTGGGTTTTCAAGGCTGTAGATGTTTATAAAGCAGCCTGTTTCTTTTTCCTCCCATGGAGCAGCTGTTGGGTTTGAACTGCTGACCTCTAGATTAGCAGCCGAATGCATTAACCACCGTGTCAGTATGTTTGTTAGTATGTACATCTGAGTATATCTGGGAAGGTTCTCTAGTACTGGGTATACACACATTCTCTTTCAGAAACGTTGGAGACTATAGCAAAAGGGTTCACCACATTTTTGGAAAGAAATAAAATAAATATCATTGAAAGAGTTTCTGGGTGGCGCAAATGGTTGAGCATTTGACTACTAACCAAAAGGTTGGCAGTTCGAACCCACCTTGAGGCATGTCAAAAGGAAGGCATAGCGATCTGTTTCTGAAAGGTTACAGCCATGAAAACTGTGGATCACAGTTCTTTTCTGACACATGGGATCACCATGAATTGGAATGGACTAAGAGCAACTGTTTTTTGTATCACCTATAGTGTTAAATAAGTGGCGTAGTGCCTAAGGCATTTGACTGCTAACCAGAAGGTTGGCAGTTCAAACCCACCAGCCATTCCTATGGGCAATCTACTTCCATAGAGATACCACCTCAGAATCCCAAGGAGAGGTCGCTATGAGTCGGAATCAACTTGACGGCAGTGAGTTTATAGTGTTAAAAGAATATATATGGATGAGAACATAAAGTTACTTGTGGGGGGAGTAGGGATAGTGAGGGACCAACAACTTGCCGCTCTATTAGCAACATTACTGTTTGAATTTATTTTCAATGTAGAGAAAGAAGATATTGATCAAAAAGTGGGGCTGGGAGAGGTTGATCTTAGAAGCTTAAAAAATAGAGCCATATAGACAAACCCCTAGCCACCTAGGCACTAACTTCTGTCTGTCTGAGAAAGAGAGAGCTTTGACCAACAAATTTCAAACATTTTCTCTCTTTTCCACCCCACTCACTTCCACCTCTTTTTTCTTTTACTCATCCTTTGAGTATTAGTATAAATATTTTTTAGGGTTGCCCTCCTACATCTGTGCCCCCATCTCAGTTTCTTAGTGCTACTGTAACAAGTTTAGGAAGCTGAAGTCTAAAATCAGGCTGCTGGCTCCAGGAGAAGGCTTTCTCTGTCCACTCTGGGGAAAGATCTTATGTCAGCTTCTCTAGCTGGGCATTTTTGGAGTTCCTGGGCTTACAGAGTTGTCTGCCTTCATCATCTTCAGATAATGTGGATCTTCTGCATATCTGCTTTTCTTCTGTGCTTAGTATGTTTTTTTACATCTCATAAGTGATTGATTTAAGACACACTCCACACTAATATATACTGTCCTCATTAATGTAACCAAACCAAACCAAACCAAACTCACTGCCATGGAGTCTATTCCAACTCATCGCGACCCCTCCTTGGGTTTCCAAGGCAGTTTCTCTACAGAAGTAGATTGCCCAGCCTTCCTTCCAAGGAGTGGCTGGTGGCTTTGAACTGCCAGCTTTCCAGTTAGTAGTCATATGCTTTAGCCACTATGCCATGAGAGAGCCCTGTTCCCAAATGGGATTACATCCACAGGTAAAGGAGTGGTAGCATAGTGCCTAAGGCACTTGACTGCTAACCATAAGGCTGACGGTTCAATCCCACCAGCCACTCTTTGCAAAGAAGGTCAGGCAATCTACTTCAAAGTGATATTCCCTTGGAAACCCAAGGAGGTGTCACTGTGAGTTGTGTCCGACTCAACAGCATATAACAACAACAGCAACATTTTGAGAAGAAGGATTCAATCCGTAACACTCCTTACCAAAAAATTTTATATTCATGTCTTATCCTGTTTTCCTGTGATTGCCTGTACTTCTCCATTATAGTATCTACTATGGTCTAATATAATCATTAATAGACCCTTAATAGACTGTAAGCTGTGAGGACACATACTGAATCTCTTTTGCTTTATATCATAGTGCCTAGGCTGTCTTGGCTTTATGCCATTAGTTGTTTAATCCATGTCCAATTCTGATTCTGTGCTCAGTGAACAACCTTCTGATTATGATTTGGCTTTCTCTGTTGGCAGAGTAAGAATGTTTTCATCATGATAACTTCATGTGCTCTTATCATACTTGTAGTTTTTCTTTATAGATTAGCATATTCACTTATGACAGGAAGATAAGTGACCATGTGGACTTTGTATATAAATTGGGAACTCTAAAGTTGGAATTCTGGTTTTGCATGCTGTTCTCTGAGTTTGATTAATTGCACTCCCTCCTGGAATAACAAGATCAGATTTCTGAGCAAATAAGGCCTATACCTGAGTAAAGTAAACATCGTGATGAATGCCCTTCTGAAGGATCTGGAGGTCATTTCATGAAAATTGTTGTTGTTGTTGTTGTTAGGTGCCATCGAGTCGTTTCCGACTCATAGCAACCCCATGCACAGCAGAAAGAAACACTGCCCGATAGCGCGTCAGCTCCATGATCCCTGCTATACTTGAGCCCATCATCGCAGTCACCGAGTCAATCCATCTCGTTGAAGGCCTTCCCCTCTTTCGTCGACCTTCTACCCTAACAAGCATGACATCCTTCTCCAGGGAATGGTTCCTTCTGACAACATGACCAAAGTAGGTGAGACGAAGTCTGGCCATTCTCGCTTCCAAGGAGCATTTTGGGTTCACTTCCTCCAGGACAGATCTG